AGAGAGAGGAGAGAGAGGAGAGAGAGAAGAGAGAGAGAGGAGAGGAGAGAGAGGAGAGAGAGAGGAGGGAGAGAGAGAGAGAAAGAGAGAGAGAGGAAAGAGAGGAGGGAGAGAGGAGAATGAGGAGGGAGAGAGGAGGAAGAGAGAGAGAGAAAGAGAGAGAGAGAAAGAGAGAGAGGAGAGAGAGAGAGGAGGGAGAGAGAGAGAGAAAGAGAGAGAGAGGAGGGAGAGAGAGAGAGAAAGAGAGAGAGATAGAGGGGGGGGAAGGGGGAGAGAGAGTGGGATAACATGGTTAGGTGACACAAACTGCTCTCCAAATAAGTTAATATTCTTTATCTACCTCTGCCTCAATCGCTTTTGATTTTTCATTTTGAGTAAAATATCCAAGGACTTTATGTTGATCCACGTGTCCCAAGCACAGCCTTTGTTTTTTTTTTTGGTTTCATTAGTGACCCTCCAACACTGGCTTAATCCAGCAGCACCTCATCAACTTAGCTTCTTTCCCTTTCAAGAAAGTTTTCAGCGGTCTACAAAAAAAAACACCAAAAAAAACCCTGTCTTGTGCTTCTGGTCGGTTCTCATTCTCTTTGTGAATTGTGCAGCAGTCATAGCCATAGAAGATAGATGGGCTGACCTCACTTCTAAACCGTTCGTTGTGTTGTCCTGAAGACATTTGTATATCTAGGGATTGTGCACATCTTATTGAAACTATCTTTAGATGTTGTAATCTTTCGTTTTATTTATGTGTGTGGTACTTTTCGCTTCATTTGAATTACAAGTCATATCTGACCATTTCGGCCGTTTTCAGTTACTAAGACCATGATGTCAGAAACCAAATGATTTATCTGTTCTATCAAAATTGTAAGATTATTCGGAGTAGTTATCAAGATATTCAAAGAATTGCATTCTAAAAAGCTTGATCATGTTGTGAAACTCAAAATTTTGGTAATTTTAAATTTCTCAAAACTAGGTACTGCCATAAGCAGATAGAATTTTGTAATTCTAGGACAGCAATTTATCACCACGTGCCTAGATATTTAAACTTTTGAAGGGGGCTCTCGTGGCCTAGAGGTTAGGGTGTTGGCCTCTCATTAACGAGACAATAAATAAGCAATTTACTTAATTATTTTTTGTAGACTATTTTTGGGTACAAATCCTGATTTAGAATAACCCATACAAGTAAACCGATAATTATTATCTTTATGTTGATAAAACACATGACCACAGACAGGTATACTCACGGTCCCTATTATACAGCTTGTATGTGGAAGGTATCACTGGCGTCTTCAGACTAAGTTCCCACCACGAGAAGTCTTCACTTGTTTTGGTGTGGGTACACGAATAGTGGTCGTAATTACCGTCAGTGTCTCCATCTACAGCGTTCTGAGCATACCCTTCAAAGGCAACGGTGGACTGACGGGCATCTTGTTCAAGTCCAATGTAGCGTCCTAAAGATAGACAATAGATTCATGTCATTGTGGGAGAGGGGGAGGTGTGTGTGTGTGTGTGTGTGTGTGTGTGTGTGTGTGTGTGTGTGTGTGTGTGTGTGTGTGTGTGTGTGTGTGTGTGTGTGTGTGTGAGCGAGAGAGAGAGAGAGAGAGCGAGAGAGAGAGAGAAAGAGAGAGAATGAACGTGAGAGAGAGAAAGAGGGGGGGGGGGAGAGAGAGGGAGTGAGAGAGAGTGAGCCTGATCATAATTTGTCTTGCTTTTGGTGAAAAAAATAACCATCTATCTTGAATGGATGTCGAGATGGTTGCTATCAAGAAAGCCAGCAAGATCTCTGGATATGATTTAATAAGAATGGATGAAATGTATAACACCACACGTATAAAAAAAGATAAAAAGCATTATAAACGACCCGTCACACCCCTTTTCCACAAATTGTAAGATCACACGGCAACAGATATGTACCTCCTAAAACAAAGAAAGAAAGATATAAAAGAAGTTTTTTACCATCTAGCATAAGGCTTTTGTCAGAATGAGCATGGATGTGTGTTGCTCTTAGAGTATGTATCTGTATATAACTCCAAAGGTCTAGTAATTAAATTCCTGCATGTGGTTGGATGATGCATTTGATGTAAATGTACATTTTGTCAGCTTTACTTCTTCTTTCATATTGAATTGTAATGAGAGTAATATATATAATTCAAATTTTTTTATGTATACCTGCACGTGTTTTTACGGTCCTGTACAGCCTAGGAAAATTTCCCTCTGGGATAATAAAGTACTATCTTATCTTATCTTATCTTATCTTATCTTATTAAAGGAAATAGGGTCGCCTGGTGTTAAAGGTAAAATTTATGAGAAAATGGCTGCCAAAGTGTGAATATTCTTTCCAAAGTTTAAGTGTCTTTGTTAACTGCAAATTTGCAGTTTTTGTGAACGTTTTTTCAGGAAAATCCAAATAAAAATATCCGTTTAAATGGGCATAAAGTTTGAAGCAAAAAAAAAGTAAATCGATAAAAATTGCCCAAGGGGTAGGAAAATGTTGAATCCTATGATGTCGTTATTTTGAGGAGCGCCCGATTTCACCTCAATGCCACACAATATTATACCTCACAGGAACACAAAGAAACGTTTCTGCTGCAATAAGAAATAACCCAAGGCGTATTGAATATTGTATGCTCTACTCTATATGTGTACCAGGGATTTTGGCGTACTAGATCTACATGAATTCGTGATTTTTTCGATTTTTTAAAAACGAAATTCGCTAATTTAAGCCTTTAGCGAAATGTTTACTATAATATTATTTTCTCTCTCTCTCTCTCTCTCTCTCTCTCTCTCTCTCTCTCTCTCTCTCTCTCTCTCTCTCTCTCTCTCTTTCTCTCTCTCTCTCTCTCTCCCTCTCTCTCTCTAATACACACACACACACACAAACACACACACACACACACACACACACACACACACACACACACACACAAACACACCCACACACACTTTTTCTATTTCTCAACAGTTTTACAAGACAAACAGTCTATCAGTTTCACAAGATTTCAGACAGAGCCTGTTACGTTATGTCAAATCTGCATGAACCGGGAAAACGCACTCAGTATATTCCACGTGTATAAGGCACACCAGTCGTGTTTTCTTACAGACTTCAACATCATTAGTTAAGGACCACCTTGACAGGCAATAATTTTTTTTTAAACCGAAAAAAGACAGCAAGGAATGTTTTAAAATTATTTGCTCTGAAAGTGTTAATGGGTTACCAATGCGTACTGCAAAGCTTCCTAAAGTGGCAAAACCGCCACGTGCAGCACGGAAATCCTCGTGGAATTTTAGCCACATTTGCTGTTTTATATCGACTTTTGTGCGACACCACGAACATTCCTCAGTTAAAATTTCTGGTGCATGTCATAAACGGACGTACGGTCTGAAACTGTGCTCACTTTGGTGGCAATATAAGCCGCCATTTGCTCAAAATCCAGTATTGCATCAACATGCCACCAAGACGAAAGCTGAGAGACTCTGATCGTGCCAGAGCTATGGCATGGCTGCAGGATGGAGTTGGAGTCCGAGAAGTTGCCAGAAGGCTTGCAGTGTCACACTCTGTCATTGTCCGCTTGAGGCAGCGCCATCAAGCCACTGGATCAGTCCAAGAACGCCCACATGCAGGTCGACCCAAGAAGACCACTCAGAGTGTTTGCAAGTGGTCCTTAACTTATGTTGAAGTCTGTAGAACTTGTTTTCTGCAGTGTACGACATTGGAGTTTAACTTCAACTGGTTTTCTCAAAGTGTTGGAAGTACTAGATTTTTTCTCAGTGAAGTAGAAGTAGGCTTGTCGATCATTCTGTGCAGACCGCAGTGGAAGACGTTTATAGCAAGCATAAATTATTCTCACTTACAAGTCTGTTTCAAGAAACAGCTGAGTATATTACCAACCTCCCACGGTATTGGAACAGAAGAGTCAAAGCCTTTGTAAAAACGCATCGCCTTCCATTAAACAACTATCTCTATCGGCGGATATTAATAAATTCACCCTTATGTGAGAGGTGTAACTTTCATGAAATTGAAGATGAATTTCACGTTATTTTCTATTGTCCATACTTTGTCCATCAAAGGAAATTGTTAATTCCCCCCAGCCTGACTCGGCCAAGTGACAGAAATATGCAATGTTTGACCCACGATAAGAGCTATGTGCATAACATGTACTTTTTCATTAAGGAAACTTCATTTAACAAATTAGTGTTCTATATGATGTGATGTGGACCAATGGCCTTAAACATTGAATAAACTTGCTTACTTTCTTTTTTTTTAAAATTACTTTAAAACTGAGATGACTGTATACTTGAATACAACAAGGAGTATGTCAGCCAACATACATGACAATATACGACTCAATTGTCGAATTCAAAACGTTTGCTTTTAGATTTAGATTTAGTCAGAGTTTTACGGCACTTGCAACACAGTAAGGTCATATAAGTGCCGAAGATTAGAGGTGTTACAAGGGAATAACAAACACAAAAAAAGGAGGGGAGATAAAGATGATAGTTGTCTGACAGGAAAGAAGAAGCAAACCACACCAGAGCACCCGCCAACCACCCACAAAACGTTTGCAAAAACGAAACGGGAAAAAAAGCGAAAAAAAAGAGAGCTCGGAAAAAAACCTCAGGTGTACAATACGGTACTTGTCCATTATATTATTTTGACATTTTAGTAGAAAGACTTCTTTAGTGCGGTCCAAAATTCGTGGTGCAACTTATTCTCAAGTATCTCTTTAAAGGATGAATCACTGTCACACATATTTACTAGAGAAATTGTATCAATTTGTCTTAACGTAATCATATTTTTCCACAACAGTTGAGGCTAGATTAAAAAACTTTTCTTCATAAATTTATATAAAATACTATAAATCTCCGCCACGCAGAAAATGGGAGTGTTCACAGCACTTCCTGCTTCTCACACACATTTTGCATACGCATATGACCTACGTCACAGCTCACCAAAGACACTATTTAATGGCAAAACTTATTACAATTAATTTTATAGTGAACATATTTTTGCACTAAAAGTTCTCAAAAAAGCGATTAGATAAAAAATGACGGACTTGCTTTTAAAAGCGATATTGTCCAAGCTGTAAAATTTTAAAAATGTGTAGAAACCATCGACTGGGATTTTTTATTAGTATTTATAAGGGAATTTTCTGAAATGCAGTGTGCAAGTGTTTGAAAAAATATGCATCTGTTAAGACACATTTGCTATAAGTCGCTGTGCAAAAGTTGGAGAATCTATGTTCGACAGTAAAGGAGATATTTAACAATAAGTTGGGACACAAATTTTTGACCGCACTAGGCTATAGACTTCATTGTCTGTGTCTGGAGGAAATGACGTCATTTTCATTACATACACGTCGTATAAATCTATGAAAATATACGTTGGGTCCTATAAATAGTTTATTTCATGAGTTGTGGTGGTAGATCATGATTATTCCTACGGGTGAAATTGCCAAGTTGTAATCACGAGTTTCAACGAGTAATTACAACTGAGCAATTTCACAAGTAGGATAAATCATGGTCTACTACCATAACATAAACAAGTGTAATAATTTTTTTTATACCATACTGCAGCTGGCGACATAGATCCGGACCAACAAAGTTCGAATGACCAGCTAAATGAGCAAGAGGGTCCATTCTTGAGTCTTATATGAAAACAAAATGTTCATGACCGTCTGAGTCAGAGTGAGGATTGGAAAAAATCTGGATTGTTTTCCTTCATTTTTAGCCACACTAATTTACATGTTGTGCTGTCCGTATGTCCTCCTCCGCGAAATAAACCCCAAACAAAACAATAATAACGTAAGCATGGCCAAGGAAAGCAGAAAACGTACGGTTCAAAAGTTGAAAAATCAAGAAACTGCGTTTATATGACATGTTCTCGTGAGAATAGAGATAACTTGATTTCAAACTTTGCAACCAAAACAAACCAAAGGCTGGGAGTCGCTTGCTAGCATAGGCCTATACTTTTTAGAATTGCACTAACATAAAATCAAAGAGAATATAAATAAAACTGTTATAATAATATAATGATAATAACTATTATTATAGTACTAATATAACCTCTTTGACTAAATTACATCGCCGCACTCTGACGTAATCCCGGTTTACTATGATGCGCACCATTTGACTCAATTGGAACAAAATAAAGGGCAATGTAGAGAGTTGTGCCTACTCTCTACTACTACTAGCTATAATCAAAGATAGATCTAGTACATAACAAGATGGGCCACTCAGCCAAAAAAGTGTCCGCCGGAAGTCCGCTCTTTGCTTCAGATGGCGCTGCAGTCTGTTTTGAAGCTCTCTTTCGTTTTTCCAGAAGAAGAATAGGAATAGCACCTCCTTGCGTGCGCAGATCGACTGCTGTTCATCAGTAGCTTGGGTTCGTTAAGTGCGGAGTTTTAGGTTTTTTAAGTTTTAATGACCTCTCGCCTTTCATTCTAAAGTAAAATTAAACGAAGAAAACAGTCACCCC